ACATCTGATTTGCTTGAGCTATTCGGGACAGGAATAGTTAATATTAAAATATATTGAAAAAATACCAAACATACTTTCAGAATGCATCATTCAAGATGTTATGAATTCTTACTTAAGATCTATAATAAGATCTTGGGTACAAGATAATACAGTTATCTTGTACCTAAATTTTCAAGATCTGTTCACTTATCTGTACCCAAGATCTTGACCAAGATCTTACGTACAAGATGTTTCACTAGGGTATACATTGAACCAATTGTGATATATAACGATGAAACATAGAGGTCAGGCTTATACAACTTTGTATCAGAACTTTTGCCTCACCCTGTATATATGTATTCTGAATGAATCTTTCAGATAAATATTTATCCTTCTTTATATGAACTGGGTCTGAAATACTTATCAGTGCCGGCTACATCAGCTCCTATTGAAAGAATATTTTCTCAAAGTGGATTTGTAATGCGCCCACATCGCGCATCGTTAACTTCAAAAAATGTAAGTTTGCTTACATTTCTTAAATGTAATCAAGTTTTGTTGTAGTTTGATTTTTTTGAAACTTGATAATAAAAGTAATTTAAAAATATTGATTCACGACTAAGACTATTTCTTGATCTCACAATTGATACGTAATCTCTAACACTGCCAATTAAATTTCCTCTAATAAGTTCGCAACAAACACATTCTCATATCATGTACTCGTACTCGAAAAAGTCCGTACTTGCCCAGCTCTGGTAAACATATTCAAAGGTAAACGGTGTTGATATTCATCACGTAGTAAAGCATTTTTGACGCCAATAATTAATTCATCATCATTTCATTTAATATGAACAAAATGGATATTTCGTCTTCGAAGGATTTGCTTAATCATAAACATTTTAAATCGATGATATAAAACGCGACGAATATAATATTTATAACGAAAATAACGACGAATAACATTTCTGTTTTTTATTTCTTTTCATGCGATCGTGAAAAGAACGGTAAGTATGTGTTCCTGTTCGATGCTTTCACGATGAATTTGTGTGAGTAAGAAATTCACGAGTTGATTGGTTTGTATCATGAAGAATAAATGTTGGTTCAAGTTGATTAAAAGGAATCACATCAGGCGATATATCTTTAAGTTGAGGAAGATGAATCTCATCATTCGATATATCTTCCAGTTCATCAAGCATAATTGACGATGGATTAGTTAATAACAAACATATTCGTGATTGTTTTAAGTCTTGAAGATACCAATTTTCAAGTACTGGTCGATGCAAATAAGATACGGCCAAGTAATCATATGTAGCGTATCGAATCATAATAGACAATGTAGACGATGATATGGTAGAATATAATGGGTCCAATAGTAAACTCCAATAATTTTTTGTTGGAACTTTATCAAGAAATTGCCCACATGTATATATTAAAGAATCTTGTAGAGACCACATCTCGTTAGATCCAAGATGAGGAAAATGATTTCATTGTGCACAACATGGATTTATGTAAGTAAATTTACATTCAACACATGGAAAATTTTTTTCTTCAATCCACGTTTTAAATCGACATTGTAGATTAATCAACTCACCTCCTAAAGGAAAAATAAAAATATCATAAGGCAGGGCCGACTCCAATTCGACAACTAGAGGGCCCCAATAATAAATAATATTTCTAGATTGAAATACAAAATCAAATAACAAACGAATTTGAGAAAATAATAATGAATCAATCGAGGGTAAATGATTCAGTTCAATAAGTACAACGATAGCGGGTAATTCAACAGGAATACTATGAATTTGTATCAAAGCGATATCATAAGTATCACAGTCTGATTCAGTATCGATACTGTATGAACAACAATGTTTAAAATGTTCAAGGACATAATCCATTGGATATATGATTTAGTAAATTTATGTACGTGAAATATTCGATAACAATGATCAGGAATATAAAACGGTGGATATTGTTGTTTATAACGATAATTCTTTAATTCTTTTTCAGCATTTCGAATCCAATTTGTTCGTGCACGTTTACTAAGGTATAATGGTGGATTAGCTGGATCACGAAGAACACGAGATTTATGTTGAGTAGACATAGGTGAACCCAGAATAATATATATAAATAAATAAACAGAATAAACAATCATAACAGGAGTAATTAAAGACCAATGGTCAAAAGGAAAACAAAGATGAAATACTAATGTTCCTTCATAACAAACAAGTAATACAAAATATAGATGGCGTTTAATAGGAAACATATATATGTAGATTATCGGTTAATAAGGATAAGAAAGTGATGAGTCATATCAATTGTAAGGAAAATTCAATAAGTGATGTTAATAAGATAGTGAACATAATAATGATAGAATGTAATAACTATAAATAATATCAGGATTGAAAAGCATAAAATTATTTTTTTTTCATTTCATTTTATTTTATTTTGTTTTGTTTTTTATGCTGATGCAAAAACTATAGGACGAATATCATTAACATGAACACGATGAACAATTTGGGTTGTTTGATCTTCAACCCAATAAATAGGATGTTGTTTCTTAATAATTATCCGTGGTGTAATAGAATATCGAGGATCTAATTTAGATCGAGATCCATGAAATTTTGTTAAAACTTGATCATTAATATCATAAATAGGATCAGAGCGATATTTATCATAAGATTGTTTATATTGCGCTTGTTGTTGAATAATAGTCGTATGTGCAAGTTTATGAATAATGTTTAAACTCTTTTGTAATTGGGCATAATAATCATTTGGTTTATGAAATAAATAAGTGGATGAAGGTTTATCAATAGGTAAACGAGGTTCTCTTCCAAATTGTAATTGAAAAGGACTATATTGTGTGGTGGAGTGTATACCAGTGTTATAGGCAAAAACAGCTGGCGATAAATATTCATCCCAATTATTATTTTCATAGCTATGAAGTTTAGCTAATTGTGGCATAAATGATGAAATAAGATGACATGAGTACGGAAGATAATCTTGTACAATTTCATTGACCTGTCTCAAAGTCTGCAAATATGTGTCTTAAGGTTAATATTAAATAAGATTATAAACTGAATTCTTTACTTCCTCGAAATTTTGTGAAATTGACTATTTATATATTTAGCTTTTAGCAAATTGTTGTCATACGAAAAACTGATTATACTGCACCTGCAACACTGCCCTTGATTTCAATGGACTATACCGCTTGGGTGTGGGAGAGTGGCCATGGATGTAGACTTATAAGAATATCAACAACATCATCCGTACCCACCCACACCCCATCAATATTTCACGAATAGTTCAACTGTTCAAATTAAAAGTTTAGCTCTATTCTTAACTTTAATATGAATATCTACGGTAGAAATATCAATCAAATCAGGAAGATTGGTGAAACAAGATTGAGCGGGGCTTACGTACTATGCCTCCTAATTTTCCGAAACAGGTGCAATAGCTTCTATCTATGTTAATTATTTAAAAATCGCTTGTACTCTGCAACTCAAAATTAAAACCGGTATTGGTTCTCTCCATGAAAACCAGAAAATCGACTATGTTCGATACGATACGATGGGTTAGAGTTCTTCTAAGAATGTTGACGAAAATATGTTATATATACGATGGAACCACTAATAAAGGCTTAAAATTTGAAATGAAAAATGTTAAATAAGTCGAATTTTGTGTTTATGATCAAAAATTCGACTTATGTCATAACTATTATCACCATTGGTTTCAACTAAACTTGAATGAATCCACATAATTGGTTGATCGGTGCATGGTATTGTTGATAGATAACCATGATCATTTGTTTCCGTTTCTTTTTTAATAAATACTGAAAGATAATTATTAATTTTGTATTCAAAACTCAGTCGAACTTCGAATGATATTGGTCGTCGTCCTCTATCATTGCATAATCTTAAACAATCTGCCCATGCCACGGCTGTCGATGCAAATTCGGTCCACATTTTATTAAAAAATGTGCACAACTTGATGGTTTGTTATGTATACTAAGATGAACTGTATTTGGTAATAAAAAGCTGTTAGCGCAATCCATTTGGGATTAAAAGTGTGAAACACGATGGAACTTCTTTTCTGGAATTCGTCTATTATTGTCACTGGTGGTCTGTGGAGCTTCTCTATTACGGTCTGTATTATGATGTATGGAATCTCTAGAAACCATCACAGACCGTTACAGAGAAATTTAATAATTAATTAATTAACCAATTAACTGATTAATTAATTTCTCTGTAACGGTCTGTGGGGGGGGGTCCAAATTTCTACCCTATATACTTCAACACTCCTTTCAGATCGTGTTTCACAATATATAGGCCAGTAGAGAATTAAATTCTCTACAATATGATATGCCTCAATGCTCTATAACTATTTTCCTTAAATACGATTCACACCTATCCATTCACGTGCAATTTACCGTAAAGAGAAAGAGAAATTTTTTTTTTCGTTCTGTTGTTTTATCTATATATCGCTTAAGTTCATAACGAATAATAAAATCTATTAGACAACATACAAGTATAAAAATATTATTTTATTTACATATTTTTATAGAAAAATTTTAATAACGAGTTGGTCCGCCGTAATTTTTAAGAACTTCTTGTAATCTTTGTGGCATCGAATTTACAAGTTTCGAAGTTATTTCTTTCCCAATCGCTTTCCATTCTTGTTGCATGATTGACCAAAGTTCGCTTTTATTCTTTGGTGAGTAAGGCTTGAGTCGTCGTTCCAGCTCATCCCAGATGTGTTCGATTGGATTGAGATCTGGCGATTGAGCTGGTCATTTGATGTTATGGATGCGATTAGTTTTAAACCATTCTTTGATTGTTGCAGCAGTGTGCTTCGGATCGTTATGATGCTGAAAAAGAAACGATTTCATTTTGAGCTTCTTTGCTGATTGCTTTACATTTTCATTTTAAATTTTTTCATATTGTTCTTTATACATAGTGCCTTCTACAAGTACTAAATTACCTACTCCGGAAGCTGACATACATTCCCAAACCATTACAGAACCTCCACCATATTTTACTGTACCTTTCAAGCATTCTCTTTTCGTTGTTTCATGTGGTTGCCGCTAAACTAACTGACGACCATCCGACCCAAAAATATTGAACTTACTTTCATCCGACTACAAAATCGAATTCCAAAATTCTTTCGATTTAAATGAATGTTCTCGAGCCCATAAAACACGTTTTCGTCGGTGAGATTTTTTCAACAACGGCTTTTTTCGAGCGACGCATCCTCGATAGCCAATTTCATGCATTCTGTTACGAATTGTTTGAGGAGATATCGATGTTTCATAATTATTTTTGAGATCTAGTGCCATATTTGATGCAGCCATTCGTCGATTTGAGATTAGTTTTCGATGAATAATTCGATCAACACGACTTGTAGTAAGACGCTTACGTTCTCGTCCCATACGATTGATTACTGAACCTGTTTCTTTTCATTTCTTAATGATGGAGTAAACCGTAGAACGAGCTAAATCAACTTTTTTTGTTATAGAACGAATTGAATCACCATTAGAATGATGCTTGATGACAAACTGTCGCAGATCAAAACTCCATTCGCGAGTCTTTGGCATTTGCAACGAGTGAATAAACACAATAGTGAAATAAATGAATGATAAATTCGATGTGTCTTTAAATATCAAATATTAGAATATGCAAGATAATATCTTCTATATTTGTTCTTTTCTCTTCTTGTACTAGCTTGCACATACCACACGGCAGAACGAAAAAAAACATTTTCTCTTTCTCTTTACGGTAAATTGCACGTGAATGGATAGGTGTGAATCGTGTTTAGCGAAAATAGTTATAGAGCATTGAAGCATATCATTTTGTAGAGAATTTGATCCTCTACTGGCCTATATATTTTACAATAAACTTCAGTTTGATGTCGGTCTCTAAAAATCGGAAATATAGAAGCGTACATAAAAATGCTAATTTTAATTAGCAATTAATATCATTAGTATTCGATAATTTTCAAAAAAGAGAGAAACGATTAAACTCAGCTTTCTTTTCTCTATCGAATGATATATTTTGAGTTAAAATATTATTTTTCTGCAGTTAAAATTTTCCGATTTTCTATAAAACCACTGGTGCTCCAGGTATTTGCATGTTTTTGGATCTTTATGAAGACATTTTGCAGCTTTATTACACAACAACAGGTAGAGAAATGTTTTCTCTATCGAATGATATGTAATACAAAATAATCTGATGCAAAATAAATGTACTATAAAAAGAAAAATACAAGTGTCTGGATAATTTTTTTGTCTGAGAAATGCAGTGTTTTTCAGAAAACCTTCGAAAACTTTATGAAGATCATCGGAAAACGAAAATTGTTTTCATGTTAAATAAAGTAGAAATGACGGCCTATTGAATGATGTAATTAGAGTCTAACATATATTCTTTCTTTATTTATTCTTTCGATAATTATACGAGATTTTTACAAGGGGGAAAAAGCGCGACTCCCGTACTCCAGCGGACTCCCTGTACTCCCAGACGATATGATAACTGTGCTTCAAAGACTTTTAGCAATTTTAAGTCTACTATCCACCTGTGTTGCGGTATAGTAGCGGGAGTCCAGCCAGCTCACATCTATTTTGCAATAAAGTCAAAATAGTTCGTTTTATTTCATCCATTTTAAACGTTGGAATACAATGAAGTATTTTGGCTATATTGCAAGATAGGCTTGGGCTGGCTGGACTCCCGCTATTATACCGTAACACAGGTGGATAGTAGACTTGAAATTGCTAAAAGTCTTTGAAGCACAGTTATCGTATCGTCTGGGAGTACAGGGAGTCCGCTGGAGTACGGGAGTCGCGCTTTTTCCCCCTTGGATTTTTATCATCTTTTTTTATTTAGACTAAGAATATTGTCTCAATCGTATTATCTCACTTCTTGACTGAACAAGTATTACAATTTATCATCTTTAATTCAAGTTGATCAAATAATTGTTGTTGGTGCATATACGATGTAACACGACAACATAAAAGATCAATTAGCGGTCTAGTCAATATTACAAGATGTGTTCTTGTTGTCACCCTTAGGAATGCTTGCGATCTTTACGATCGATTGCATAGCTATCAATTAAAACCATCAAAAGACCACTTTATGTAGTGAGCGGGATGTTAAATTTTACAAATAGAAATGAAATTCATTTGATCTTGATTGCTTACCAATTGCCTAAATGTTACGAATAACAAAAATGACTATAAATAACAATGATTTTTAACGTTAGAAATCATTCCCCATCTTTCTTTCTCTTCTTCTTACATTATAATATGTATATTTTATTTTTTAACTATTTTAGCTGGTATTCATACTGGCGATTGTTCAATATCATAGGTAAGTATTAGTTTTAATTTTTTTAATTTTATTTTCGTTGTCTCAGCTTTTTATCCCATTTATTTATTTTAATTTTTATATGATTATAATTGTCTTTCTATTTTCATTTTAGTTTCAATTTTATTTTTCTATTTCTATTTTCTATTTTAGTGATACAAAAGAGTAAGTATAATTTTGTATATATGTATATTATTTTACGTCCTACGGAGGCCTTCCATACATCGGCGTGAAATTGGCCAAGCCTATCTTGGTGCCCATAGCACGTACAGGCCGCATATAGATCTTCCTGTTGTATGTTCTATACACGCTAGATCTATGCCTGTACGTGAAGAGCCTTGGCTCTCTATGGCACTACCAAGGTAGTTCTTGGTCGCGCGAGCGACTATTAGCTGGTAAGCAAAAGAAAAAGTTTTTCTCATTTCAATCAATTCATTTCTGCTTATTTCGTTTTAGTTCATTTCGATTTCTTCAACAGCAACGTAAGCATAATGCCTTTCATTTATTTTATTCGAAACAAATAAAATTAATTGTTTTTTTTATGTTTTAGTTCCATTCAACAATTCAATTCAATTCAATCCAAACGAACACAAATCTAAGTATATATTTTTTCACTCTGTTGTTTTATTTTCTGAAACACGATCTGTGATGGTTTGTGAAGGCTCTGTCACTGTCTGCGATGGTCTGCGATTTCTCTGTAACTGCCTGTGATTGTCTCTAGAGACTTCATACACCATAATACAGATATAGACCGTGGTAGAGAACCTCCACAGACCGTCACAGACCGTGGTAGACGGATTCCAGAAAATGAGCTTTATCGTGTTTCACATTTTTAATCCCACAAGGATTGCGCTAACAGCTTTTTTTGTAACTTGTATTCTTTTTTTGATTTTTCAAATAAACATTATTCAAATAACTCAATTTTTTTCTTTTCATTTCAATTTCAACAATAAATATTTTTATGCTAACAATAAATAATTTCAAAATAACGCAAAATTTTATTTTCATTTCAATCATGAATATTTCATGAAAATAAAACAAATTTTATTTTTGATTATAATAATAAATATTTTCAAAACGACACAATTTACTTTTCACTTTAATAATTAATATTTTTTTGCGAAAAAAACCAAGCTCTTTTATTTAATTCATTTCTTTTCATTTAACAAATAAATAAATAAGAGAAGAAGAAAAGAAACATATGACGTAATCTTATATTTTACGTTTTTTCTTTTCTTTGAAGCAAAAGAGTAAAAGAAAAATTTCTTTTTTTTTGTTCATTTATTTCAAAGTATAACGTTAGAAAAAGAAGCGAACAAAGAAAAAACAATTCACAAATCTTATTCGATAGAAAATCGTTGAACGCGAGCATTATTATAATCAACGACATAGAGACTACCATGTCGATCGAAAGACAAACCAACGGGGCCGTTGAACTGATTTGCGCCTGCTCCTACGCCATTTCCATTCACAATTACAGTGCCTTGTTTCTTGTCTCCTTGAGTCCAACGCATTACACGATGATTCCATGTGTCTGCTACATAGAGTGTACCCAACGTATCAACAAAGATTCCTTGAGGATAAGACAATTGTGTCAAAGCATGCCCTTGGCCTTGTCCTCCAGCGACCACAATACCTTCTTTTGCACCATTATTCCATTTCATTACACGGTGATTTTGTTCGTCCGATACGTAGACATTCCGTTGTCGATCGACAAAAAGATATGTCGGAAAGTTGAGTTGATTGGTACCATTACCTTTACCATTACCACCAGCTACGAGAGTGTAATTCTTCTCACCCAATTGATATCGTCTTACTTCATGTTTTTCAATGTCAGAAACGTAGAGATACCTCTGCTCATCCATAGATACTCCATAACATTTGATGTTGTCAATGAGTATTTCACCTTGTGTTGTATCACTACGACGAGACCATCGTACAACTCGTCGATTCATTCGATCACAAATAATGAGACTATCCGTCTCTTTATCAATTAATACATCTGTTGGATGATTCAATTGATGCAATCCATTTCCTTGGCCGTTACCACCAGTAACAACTTGTCCATTCGTTGTATCACCGTTCCTCCATTGCATGATACGATGATTATCGTAGTCAGCAATAACCACTGTTTGATCATCATCAACGAAAAGACCAAAAGGCAAGCTGAGTTGATTAGTGGCATTCCCTTGCCCGTGACCTCCAGCAATAGTAACACCATTCTGTGCCCATGCAGTATTAGCAGGAATATTAACTAGAAGAGAAAGAGTAAGAATAAAAGGAGATCTCTCTCTTTCTCTCTCGAGTATAGCTAGCATATGAAATAATATCGAAAGTATTGAGCAAAATTCTTTGAATAGATCATTCTTTTTTTCTAGCAATTCCTCAGAATAAGTTTTTTCTATACTGGAAGATTATTCTATAGAATGAATATAGCATTTTTTTGTGCAACTATATCATAGTGTCTTGTTATGTTTAAAATGAGATTTTTTTTCCATCAAAATAGTTCTATATAGACATTTATTTTTTGCTTTGTTTTTGAGATGTTATATACATGCGAGTCTATATTTTCTATGAACAGACAAACATATAATAATTATATAACGATTTATTTCTTATATGAGCTTATTATACGCGTTGTATTATTTTCCTATGATCAAAATATATTTTTGCTAGAATCTTTTTCATTCTCTTAAATAGAGCATTTTTTACTTCTAGAATATGCTTGTGTCCAAGAAGTACGTCCCTCGTAAAGGACGAGATTAGATAGGGGCTACATGAACCACTGGACGTCCTCTCATAAACCATAGAACTACCCAGTGAAAAATATTACTAAAAAAGAACGGTAAAGAATGCGTTCCAAAAGAACTGAAGCTCTTTTTTTAAGAAAAGAAAACGTTCCACAACAAATGGAAACCGTTCTCAAATGGAACGAACTAGAACGCATTCTATCATTCTAAGAAGGTGTTCTTGGTCGTTTCGAAATGGAACAGTGAAGAACGCATTCTGCCACTTGTGGAACGCTTTCTCTTCTTTAAAACGGTTAACTTTTCTGATCACCTGGGTGATCATT